TTTTGTTTTGTCTCATTAGATTCTCGTCAAATTTGTTTTGCCAAATTTGAGCAATTTTTAAATAATAACTACACACAGTAAACACACTTTAGTAAAGTGTAACACAATTACAGAGTGACAATAATCCTCTGTGTCCACTGCAGCCACACTGCCCAGGTCTGATGGGCATTCACAGCCCAGCAGAGCGTGTGTGTGTGTGTGTTTGTGTGTGTGTGTGTGTGTGTGTGTGTGTGTGTGTGTGTGTGTGTGTATGGTCCCTTTGTCCTGTAAAGATGACGTCTGTGTCTGGACACTGCTGCGACTTAGGACGTGAACAAAGCTCTTTTCAGCTCAGTAAGAACTCTAAGAACTCTACATACATTAAGTGTATTTAAAGCTGCTGTTACTGACTTTGAGACAGTAACAGCAGCTTAGACCCATAGACCATGATAGAACCGGGAAGCGCGGAGAGGACGAGACTTTCTTTTGGCTGTTTCGCTGAGTAAGCAGAAACGAAGACACGGGAAGTTTCAGGTTAGCCTCTGCCGCTTGTTAGCTTTTCTCAAGGAAGTGGGGGCCAGTGGTCCGCTGTGATTGGTCACAATCTGGACCCGAAACACATTCTCTTCCTTGTTTCACCAAAACTCTATCTAAAATATAATGTCACGCCAGCACAAATCTGCGCTACTTTTTCTTCAAAAGGACGTATATCCCAATGCACTGCATGGACATGGATTGAATTTACATAATACAAATACAAAGTCAGGTAATGCAGCTTTAATGTACTTTTACTTTAGAATGTTCTGGAAACAGCAGCGAGTCCTGAGTGGTTCTGAGACTGTTTTTTGTGTGAGATGTTGCTGCAGTTCAGTGTTCATGGTTTTACACTGGTCCAGACCAGAGCAGAGAGGATTCATGGTGTGTATGTATGTATGTGTATGTACAGTATATGTGTGTGTGTGTGTGTGTGAGTGTGAGTGTGAGTGTGTGTGTGAGTGTGTGTGTCTGTGTGTGTGTGTGTCTCACGTGGGTTGGGGGTTGCCTTTGGCCTCACACTCGATGATGATATTGTCCCGAGGGTCAACGATGTAATCTTTCACAGACTGCTTCAGGATCGTGGGAGGCTGCTTCACTGCAGACACACACACACAAACACACACACACAGACACACACACACACCATGTTTTTGGATGCAACAACAATAGAACTACAGTCCTGGGTCTACAGCCTCAGTCCTGGGTCTACAGCCTCAGTCCTGGGTCTACAGCCTCAGTACTGGGTCTACAACCTCAGTCCTGGATCTACAGCCTCAGTTCTGGGTCTACAGCCTCAGTCCTGGATCTACAGCCTCAGTCCTGGATCTACAGCCTCAGTCCTGGATCTACAGCCTCAGTCCTGGATCTACAGCCTCAGTCCTGGATCTACAGCCTCAGTCCTGGATCTACACCCTCAGTCCTGGATCTACAGCCTCAGTCCTGGATCTACAGCCTCAGTCCTGGATCTACAGCCTCAGTCCTGGATCTACAGCCTCAGTCCTGGATCTACAGCCTCAGTCCTGGGTCTACAGCCTCAGTCCTGGATCTACAGCCTCAGTTCTGGGTCTACAGCCTCAGTCCTGGGTCTACAGCCTCAGTCCTGGATCTACAGCCTCAGTCCTGGGTCTACAGCCTCAGTCCTGGATCTACACCCTCAGTCCTGGATCTACAGCCTCAGTCCTGGGTCTACAGCCTCAGTCCTGGGTCTACAGCCTCAGTCCTGGATCTACAGCCTCAGTCCTGGGTCTACAGCCTCAGTCCTGGGTCTACAGCCTCAGTCCTGGGTCTACAGCCTCAGTCCTGGGTCTACAGCCTCAGTCCTGGGTCTACAGCCTCAGTCCTGGGTCTACAGCCTCACTAACTCACTGACACTAATCTGACCCAGAAAAAGCCTGCAGTTACCACGGCAACCTTTACAGCCTATTTAGCTACAGCCTGTTAGCATGTGCTCGGATGGAGATATTTGTAATTGGCTCAAAATGACGGCGTGACATTCTGCAGATGGAAAAAGGGCTCTGACCCCATGGGTTAAACACTTACGCTCTTGTAAGATCTTTGCTGTTAGTCCAGGACACGCGTGTTGGAGACAGAGACATGTTAGAAAGTCCAGACCATCCAGACCAAAAGGCAATGAATAGATTTTGTTTCAACTCCACCGTAGACATTTCTCAGCAAATATCATAGTTTTAAAACATTTGCAAAAACAGATATTTCCGTTTGGAAAATGTGTCAAAAAGTTTTATTTCTTAAGCTACAGTCAGAGCTGCTATGTCTCTCTCTCTCTGGTCTCTCTCTGGTCTCTCTCTCTGGTCTCTCTCTCTGGTCTATCTCTGGTCTCTCTCTCTGGTCTCTCTCTCTCTGGTCTCTCTGGTCTCTCTCTCTGGTCTCTCTCTCTCTGGTCTCTCTCTGGTCTATCTCCCTCTCTCTGGTCTCTCTCTCTCTGGTCTCTCTCTCTCTGGTCTCTCTCTGGTCTATCTCCCTCTCTCTGGTCTCTCTCTCTCTGGTCTCTCTCTCTCTGGTCTCTCTCTCTCTGGTCTCTCTCTCTGGTCTCTGTTAGCTGGTGTTGTGCTATACAAATAAAATGATGATATAAGTGTTGTATATTAGGACATGGCAAAAGCAGGATAATGTGAATGTGATTCAAAGCTACTATTAAGACAGAAGGTTAGCATTAGCATTAGCATTAGCATTCGCATTTGCAAGTGAGAGAAAGACTCACCTGTAGATGGTTTTCCAAAGGATTCATGAGCAGGAAACACAAGAAAAGAACATGTCAGTCACATCCTTAGATTATACTGGATAATCCAGGATGGGGATTACTTTGCAAAAGGTTTATTTTGGATTTTAATGTTTTAGAAAAGATTGTATGTGGATAAACACAGATGATGGTTGTAGACAGGATCTGGAGTTGTGAACCAAATGCAGTTTCAGTCTAATCATTGGAAGCCTGAAGCTGCCAAAGTGGGGCTTCAGTCTGTGTGTCGCAGGGCAGCTGTGTGTCCCTGGGCAGCTGTGTGTCGCAGGGCAGCTGTGTGTCCCTGGGCAGCTGTGTGTCGCAGGGCAGCTGTGTGTCCCTGGGCAGCTGTGTGTCCCTGGGCAGCTGTGTGTCGCAGGGCAGCTGTGTGTCCCTGGGCAGCTGTGTGTCCCTGGGCAGCTGTGTGTCGCAGGGCAGCTGTGTGTCCCTGGGCAGCTGTGTGTCCCTGGGCAGCTGTGTGTCGCAGGGCAGCTGTGTGTCCCTGGGCAGCTGTGTGTCCCTGGGCAGCTGTGTGTCCCTGGGCAGCTGTGTGTCGCAGGGCAGCTGTGTGTCGCAGGGCAGCTGTGTGTCCCTGGGCAGCTGTGTGTCGCAGGGCAGCTGTGTGTCCCTGGGCAGCTGTGTGTCGCAGGGCAGCTGTGTGTCCCTGGGCAGCTGTGTGTCCCTGGGCAGCTGTGTGTCGCAGGGCAGCTGTGTGTCGCAGGGCAGCTGTGTGTCGCAGGGCAGCTGTGTGTCCCTGGGCAGCTGTGTGTCCCTGGGCAGCTGTGTGTCCCTGGGCAGCTGTGTGTCGCAGGGCAGCTGTGTGTCGCAGGGCAGCTGTGTGTCGCAGGGCAGCTGTGTGTCCCTGGGCAGCTGTGTGTCCCTGGGCAGCTGTGTGTCCCTGGGCAGGTGTGTGTCGCAGGGCAGCTGTGTCCCTGGGCAGCTGTGTGTCGCAGGGCAGCTGTGTGTCCCTGGGCAGCTGTGTGTCGCAGGGCAGCTGTGTGTCCCTGGGCAGCTGTGTGTCGCAGGGCAGCTGTGTATCCCTGGGCAGCTGTGTGTCCCTGGGCAGCTGTGTGTCGCAGGGCAGCTGTGTCCCTGGGCAGCTGTGTGTCACAGGGCAGCTGTGGCTACAATAGCACTTTAACGAGACGCCGACGCTGGACCATCAAAGCCTCTGGTCACTCGTTACATACAGACCTTTTCCACATGGTTTAGATGTTGCCCACTGTGGGGGAAGTGTCATGCCCAAGGACACAACAACAGTCTGGCCCTTTACAGCCGCAGCCGCCCCACTGTGGCACCGGCTGTTCCCAGAGGTCTCCCATCACAGTACTAACCAGGCCCTGCCCTGCTGAGCTTCAGAGGTCTGAAGGATCTGGCTTTCACCTGCAGTTTGGAGGTTCATCAATCTCATGTTTAATAGAGTCCTCCACAAAGTGCTAATGACACACGGCTCTGTTCAGGACAAAGCGCCGCGTCCTGTGGAGGTCAGGGGTCAGGGGTCAGGGTCCACAAACACCGGATCAATAGAGCGACAGAGGTCAGAGGTCACAGGGTGAGGACAGCCACCTTTGTGCCTCTTTTCCACTGTTCGTCTGCGAGGTGCGTTCATCAGCGTGTGGAGGCCCCTGTGGAGGCCCCTGTGGAGGCCCCTGTGGAGGCCCCTGTGGAGGTCCCTGTGGAGATCCCTGTGGAGATCCCTGTGGAGGCCCCTGTGGAGGTCCCTGTGGAGGCCCCTGTGGAGGCCCCTGTGGAGGTCCCTGTGGAGGCCCCTGTGGAGGCCCCTGTGGAGGTCCCTGTGGAGGCCCCTGTGGAGGCCCCTGTGGAGGTCCCTGTGGAGGTCCCTGTGGAGGCCCCTGTGGAGGTCCCTGTGGAGGCCCCTGTGGAGGTCCCTGTGGAGGTCCCTGTGGAGGCCCCTGTGGAGGTCCCTGTGGAGGCCCCTGTGGAGGCCCCTGTGGAGGCCCCTGTGGAGGCCCCTGTGGAGGTCCCTGTGGAGGTCCCTGAGGCCCCTGTGGCGGCCCCTGTGGAGGCAGCTGATGGTTCATGCAGCTTATGGTACATGCAGCTGATGGTACATGCAGCTGATGGTACAGCTGTGTGTGTGTGTGACATACCGTCTTGAGGAACCTCGATGGCGCCCGCCTGCGCCCACAGCAGCAGTGATACGGTCAGTGCGATGACTCCGCCTTGTTGCCACATGGCTCCTCCCCTTTGTTTGTCCTTCCTCCTGATTGGCTACTGGAGGACCTGCTGACACACGGATGCAGACAGTGTGAATGTGCTCTACATCTCTGGGCCTCAGGGGCCTCAGCTCTCTGGGCCTCAGGGGCCTCAGCGTTTTGGACCTCAGGGGCCTCAGCTCTCTGGACCTCAGGGGCCTCAGCTCTCTGGGCCTCAGCTCTCTGGGCCTCAGCGCTCTGGGCCTCAGGGGCCTCAGCTCTCTGGACCTCAGGGGCCTCAGCTCTCTGACCGATGCTTCCTGTTATTATTGCATTTCCTGTGTTCGAACAGTTTGTGTGTGTGTGTGTGTGTGTGTGTGTGGGTGTGTGTGTGTGTGTGTGTGTCCTGCAGAAGCAGGTCATCTGCACACACACATTTATCCTTTTCCTCATGTCCTCAGGTGCAGATTAACATCAGTGGTGTTCACAGAACCTGCAGACCTGCTCTGGTCTCTCTCTGGTTTCTCTCTGGTCTCTCTCTCTGGTCTCTCTCTGGTCTCTCTCTCTGGTCTCTCTCTCTGGTCTCTCTCTGGTCTCTCTGGTCTCTCTCTCTGGTCTTTCTGGTCTCTCTCTCTGGTCTCTCTCTCTGGTCTCTCTCTCTCTGTTCTCTCTGGTCTCTCTCTCTGGTCTCTCTCTGGTCTCTCTCTGGTCTCTCTCTGGTCTCTCTCTCTGTTCTCTCTGGTCTCTCTCTCTGGTCTCTCTCTCTGGTCTCTCTCTCTCTGTTCTCTCTCTCTCTGGTCTCTCTCTGGTCTGGTCTCTCTCTGGTCTCTCTCTGGTCTCTCTCTGGTCTCTCTCTCTGTTCTCTCTGGTCTCTCTCTGTTCTCTCTCTGGTCTCTCTCTCTGGTCTCTCTCTCTGGTCTCTCTCTGGTCTCTCTCTCTGGTCTCTCTCTCTGGTCTCTCTCTGGTCTCTCTCTGGACTCACTCTGGTCTCTCTCTGGTCTCTCTCTCTGGTCTCTCTCTCTGGTCTCTCTCTCTGGTCTCTCTCTCTGGTCTCTCTCTGGTCTCTCTCTCTGGTCTCTCTCTGGTCTCTCTCTGGACTCACTCTGGTCTCTCTCTCTGGTCTCTCTCTGGTCTCTCTCTCTGGTCTCTCTCTCTGGTCTCACTCTGGTCTCTCTCTCTGGTCTCTCTCTGGTCTCTCTCTGGTCTCTCTCTGGACTCACTCTGGTCTCTCTCTCTGGTCTCTCTCTGGTCTCTCTCTGGTCTCTCTCTCTGGTCTCTCTCTCTGGTCTCTCTCTGTTCTCTCTCTGGTCTCTCTCTGGTCTCTCTCTGGTCTCTCTCTCTGGTCTCTCTCTCAGCTGAAACATGTTAACGTGGTTACAAAAGAAGTATGACTTTTGTTTTAAAGCATGAACTACTGTAAGAAACCACACACTCTGTCACCGAACACTCTCACCCATAGTTTTTCTCACCCATAGTTTTTCTTACCCATAGTTTTTCTCACCCATAGTTTTTCTTACCCATAGTTTTTCTCACCCATAGTTTTTCTTACCCATAGTTTTTCTCACCCATAGTTTTTCTTACCCATAGTTTTTCTCACCCATAGTTTTTCTTACCCATCGTTTTTCTCACCCATAGTTTTTCTCACCCATAGTTTTTCTCACCCATAGTTTTTCTTACCCATAGTTTTTCTAACTTGGTCGAGGGTCATTTTGCGGAACTTTTTGGCCGTTTACTAAACTGTGGTTTTATAAGATTCACACTGTCCCGCTGTCATTTCACAAAAATCTAGTGAAAAAACAGAATGAAAAGCTATGAACAACTTTTGAGACAGTTTAGAAATATTATATATATTATATAATTATATTATATATTATATAATTATAATATATATATAATTATATAATATATATAATATTATATAATTAGTATTATTGTTATTATATGGATGGAGCGTGAGATTGACAGGCGGATCGGTGCAGCGTGCGCAGTGATGCGGTCGCTGTATCGGACCGTTGTGGTAAAGAGGGAGCAGCGTCTGCAGTCAGAGCTGTATCAGACCGTTGTGGTAAAGAGGGAGCTGAGCCGAAAGGCAAAGCTCTCGATTTACCGGTCAATCTTCGTTCCCTCCCTCACCTATGGTCATGAGCTTTGGGTAATGACCGAAAGAACGAGATCGCGGATACAAGCGGTCGAAATGAGCTTCCTCCGCAGAGTGGCTGGGCGCTCCCTTAGAGATAGGGTGAGGAGCTCGGTCACACGGGAGGAGCTCGGAGTAGAGCCGCTGCTTCTCCACGTCGAGAGGAACCAGTTGAGGTGGCTCGGGCATCTGTTCCGGATGCCTCCTGGACGCCTTCCTGGGGAGGTGTTCCGGGCACGTCCCACCTGGAGGAGGCCCCGGGGAAGACCCAGGACACGCTGGAGGGACTATGTCTCTCAGCTGGCCTGGGAACGCCTTGGGGTCCCCCCGGACGAGCTGGAGAAAGTGTGTGTGGATAGGGAAGTCTGGGCGTCTCTGCTTAGACTGCTGCCCCCGCGACCCGGCAACGGATAATGCGGAAGAAAATGGATGGATGGATGGATGGATGGATGTTATTATATAATATTTTATATTCAGGGTCTTGAGGGGAATTCAACCTGTAACTGTAATACTTTTTACAAAATGACACCATAAGTACAACAAACATTGTTCTCCTGATGCCCTTCTGTGCATTTTCGCAACATTCCGCTAAAATGACACGTCTTTTACGCATCAGTAATTTCAATCGCAGCTGAGGTTTCAACCGTGAGTGAAGCCTCTCACTCTCTCATGATCTTTGGCAGATTCCGTCTGATCAGTCTATAAAACATGTGTAACTTATAAAACATGTGTAACTTATAAAACATGTGTAACTTATAAAACATGTGTAACTTATAAAACATGTGTAACTTATAAAACATGTGTAACTTATAAAACATGTGTCCGTGGCGTCACTGACCTCAGTCTCAGTGCGGCTGTGGCTCAGTCTCAGTGCGGCTGTGGCTTAGTCTCAGTGCGGCTGTGGCTCAGTCTCAGTCACCTGAATCCAACAGAAAAACAGGATTTAAACCATAAACATCTTAAAAATAAGTGTTTGGTTCAAAAGTTTACACTGATGTCCATCACGACATCAGTTCATAACCCAAGGACGGGACGTGGGACTCAGAGGACGGAGCTGGGACATTTAGGGACATTCAGGGACACTTAGGGCCTGGTTAGTGCTGTGACCTCTTGGAACACATTAGAATGAGGGACCCACACTGCCTTGCTTCTGTCAGTGTGCCCCAGGGCAACTGTGGCTACAGTGTCTCAAGTGAAGGAATGATGTGAAGTGTCTGAGCAATCCAAAAAAGTGTTGTATAAAACCAATGCATTTTTATTATTATTAAGTCAGACATTGTGGTTCACACTTCATTATTTCACTAGTGCACACGAGAGGAAGAGCTTGTGAGTCACTATGTTTGGGCTTAGAACCATTTGGTGCTTTAGGGTGATCCTCCCTCATTTGTGCTTTAGTTTAGTGCGAGTCACAGAGCATTCATGTGAACAATAACAACATGAAACATTCTGTGTTTGGATTTAACCGTCTCCATCTCCCATGGGTCAGTTGAACCATCTCTGTCTGCCTCTGCCTCTGCCTCTGCCTCTGTCTCTGTCTCTGTCTCTGTCTCTGTCTCTGTCTCTGCCTCTGCCTCTGCCTCTGTCTCTGTCTCTGTCTCTGTCTCTGTCTCTGTCTCTGCCTCTGCCTCTGCCTCTGTCTCTGTCTCTGTCTCTGTCTCTGTCTCTGTCTCTGTCTCTGCCTCTGCCTCTGCCTCTGCCTCTGCCTCTGCCTCTGCCTCTGCCTCTGCCTCTGCCTCTGTCTCTGACTCTGCCTCTGTCTCTGTCTCTGTCTCTGTCTCTGCCTCTGTCTCCCATGTGTCGATTAGCTGCATCCACCTCTTGTTTCTTGTGAAGCAAACCAGCTGCAGTTCACTTGAAAATTACAGTATATTATCCAAATTTACCCCATCCCCCAGAACAGAGAAGATATGGACGGACACACACACACACACACACACACAGACACACGCATCCCACAGAACAGAGAACATTTGAACTGGAGGGAGCTGGAAATGAACACTGGGGGTTGGAGCCACGGAAAGATGAAAAAGGATGTCTCCTGCACCATGTTACACTGACCTACTTCTGACACACACACGCACACGAACACGCACGCACACAAACACACACAGACACACACACCCGCACTCACAGCCCCACACACACACACACACAAAAGCACCCGCACTCACAGCCCCACACAGACACACGCACACAGGGACACACACACACACACACACACACAAAAGCACACGCACTCACAGCCCCACACACACACACACGCACACACACACTGAGTCAATCCTACACAGCGGGCTATTGAACTTCCTTGTTTTGAGGGGCAGAGTTCAGATCCTGAGGGTGATCGGTTTCTCTCATATCGACCCTCGATTGTTTTAGTTCAGTGAAAAACAAGAGCGAAACCTTTTTAAACCAATCACAGACAAGAGTACACAACAGTGAGAGAAACCAACACAGAGAGTGAGAGAGTCTGAAGGTAAAGGAGACAGCAGTGAGAGAGTCTGAAGGTAAAGGAGACAGTAGTGAGAGAGTCTGAGGGTAAAGGAGACAGCAGTGAGAGAGTCTGAAGGTAAAGGAGACAGTAGTGAGAGAGTCTGAAGGTAAAGGAGACAGTAGTGAGAGAGTCTGAAGGTAAAGGAGACAGTAGTGAGAGAGTCTGAAGGTAAAGGAGACAGTAGTGAGAGAGTCTGAAGGTAAAGGAGACAGTAGTGAGAGAGTCTGAAGGTAAAGGAGACAGCAGTGAGAGAGTCTGAAGGTAAAGGAGACAGTAGTGAGAGAGTCTGAAGGTAAAGGAGATAGTAGTGAGAGAGTCTGAAGGTAAAGGAGACAGTAGTGAGAGAGTCTGAAGGTAAAGGAGACAGTAGTGAGAGAGTCTGAAGGTAAAGGAGACAGTAGTGAGAGAGTCTGAAGGTAAAGGAGATAGTAGTGAGAGAGTCTGAAGGTAAAGGAGACAGTAGT